CTCCACCTCTGCAATTCTATTTCAAAAATGTTCTATATAAGGAATCATATATTATGCCATTTTGGTTATTGGCTTCTTATGCTCAGCATAAAGAAGCTGATATCGCCGGGCGCGGTGGCTCACGCCTGTAATCCTAGCTCTCTGGGAGGCCGAGGTGGGCGGATTGCTCGAGGTCAGGAGTTCGAAACCAGCCTGAGCAAGAGTGAGACCCCGTCTCTACTATAAAATAGAAAGAAATTAATTGGCCAATTAATATATATACAAAAAATTAGCCGGGCATGGTGGCGAATGCCTGTAGTCCCAGCTACTCGGGAGGCTGAGGCAGGAGGATTGCTTGAGCCAGGAGTTTGAGGTTGCTGTGAGCTAGGCTGACGCCATGGCACTCACTCTAGCCTGGGCAACAAAGCGAGACTCTGTCTCAAAAAAAAAAAAAAAAAGAAGCTGATATCATGCAAGTTATGAGTGCATCATTAGTTTGCTGAGTATTCTGTGACGTGGATGCCCCACAGTTTGGTTTGTTCCACCATTCACCTCTTGAAGGACATCTTGGCTGTTTCAAGTCAGATTTATATCTTCACTTATTTATTAAAATGTATTAGAGCTTTCTACTTGCAGGTGAAATTTGTCACTTTTCAATTGCAAGGCACACTGTTGAATTGTAATATTCTTGGGTTTAGCGAATTTGTCTTTACTTTCTTTATCTCTTTGTTTTAAGCCTTTTAAAAGTTTCATAACAAACCTAACTATTTTCTTCTGGACTAAAGAGTTCTAATCTTCTAGTCTTTACTTCCAAGGGTATCACTCTTCTTATGAGAATCTAAAAACACTTTTTGGGATACTCATCAGTTTACATCTCAGTTAAATTTTGAAAGGCAGACAGGCACAAAAAAGGTAAAACACGTTGCTAGAAATATAAACTGCATGTTGCATTTATATCTGTGACCCAACTAATTATTTCCAATACTTAGGGGATGTTGGAGGATTTAGCACTCACCAGGGAGCACAGCTGTAGGGAAAAATACATTTCTAAGAGTTCTATATCACTCATTTAAGACTTCTAACCCAGAGATTTTCAGACAGTAAAGTTTTCCACTGATAGAGTCAAGAAATAGACCTAACAGCCTATAGGAATTAATTATAGTATAAAAGTGCTGGTGTAAAGGTAGTATGGAAAGGAAAGATTAGTTTTAAATTGATATAGTACAGCTAGCTAACTTCAGAAATAAAGAAAGGAAAAGAAAAAGGAAGAATAAAATGAAAGAAGGAAGGAGGGAAGGACAGAAAGGAGAGAGAGAACTTCATTAAATCAAACCAAATTTCATCTAGATAAAAACTTCAATATAAAAATGAAACTGTTCAGTTGCTGTACTGGACTGTGGATTCCAGCCACACCTGAACACACAGCCCAGGCAGCAGCCCCACTGGCTTCAGAGCATGGGCAGACGTTTTACCCATGCTAGAGACCCCAACAATAAGACCCACCCATCCACAGATGCTGCCAGCTACCCTGTCTAGAGGCTGGGCTGACCCGTGAAAGTCTTTCCCTGACGAAGCACACCTGTAAAGTCAGAAGGAGGTGACTTCATCCCCACAGACACACAGACAAATTGCAAGGTTGCAAGGATCATGCAAACACACACATACACACACACAAATACACAATGAAATATTATTAGCCATGAAATGAAGACATTCGTCATTTAGGACAATATGGATAAACCTTGAGGATATTATGCTAAGCGAAATAAGTCAAGCAGAGAAAAAAAATACTGTATGATCTCACTTATATGTGGAATCTAAAAAAGTTGAACACACAGAAACAGGGGTTATAATAATGGTTGCCAAAGGTCAAGGGTAGAGGAAACAGGGAGAAGTTTGTCAAAGTGTATAAACTTTCAATTCTAAGATGAATAAGTTCTAGGGATCCAATGCATAACATGAAGGATGTAGTTAATAATACTATATTTTATACTTCAAATTTGCTAAAGGAGTAGATCTTCAATGTTCTCACCACACACACACACAAATAGTAACTATGTGAAGTGATAGAGGTGTTAACTAACTTGAATCTGGTAATCATTTCACAATATATAACAAAGTATCATGTTGTACGCCTAAGATACACATGATTTGATTTGTCAATTATACCTCAATAAATCTGGAAAGAAATAAAAGTGTTAACATACTAGAAGAAATTATGAGAAATTTATCAACATAATCTAGACATATCCTGGGCAACACACACAAACACATGCACTCACATCAAGAAGAAAAAAATAGTCAATTAATATGAATAAAAGTGATCTCTACTGAGCCATCAGTAGGCACCAGCCATCAGGGCTCCTCATGGACATCATTCTTTTCCCAGAATACAAGGTCTTCTAGACATCTTAGAGTTGTTCTCATACACCATAATGGGTTTCACCAGGGTCTTTGCCCCATAACAACTTGGAAGCTGCTTTCATTCCCTTTGACTAAGGGAAAAACTCGGGAACTCAACAAAATGCTAAATCTAAGTACATCAGAGTCAGCATATAAGGCAGGCTCAGAATACCAGCCAAAGCTCCAAGCAGGGGCCCAGTCAGGAGCCCAGGTTGTTGTCATCCTGAGTGTATAAACCTAGAAATTGGGCCAGGGAAGGAGTAGAAATTGGCTAGGAACCAAAGAGCATGATAAGAGCACCATAATTCAATGTATCAGTCTTACAAGTGTCTGAGAGCAGAAGGGGAGTCTCAAAGTCATTTCGGCCAGTCCCCTCCACAGGGTTCTTGAATGTGCCTCAGCAACACCAGCTCACACTTAAACACTTCCTGGATCATCTCAGAAGGGGACCCATTCCATAAACCACCTTCCCCATGGTGAGTCAGATTTGCTTCTCTCTGTGAGCTGCCCAGGCATCCTGTGTTAACCCATTTGCAGCATCGGGGCAAGTCTGAGCTCCCACCCTGAGCCACTTCAGGCTACACCACCATTGCTTTGCTTCTGTTTTCTCCTTTTTAGGCTAAAATTCCAAAGCTTTTCCACTTGTTTCTTTCTCCTTGATCATGATGTAGCCATCATAGCCACTTTGCTTTTCACAAAACCCAATTTATCTCTATTCTTTTTATGTAGCCTGACATGAACTGCATTTTCCAAATGTGCTCTGAACATTCAGAAAGGAGTAGAACTGCCTCCTGTTCCTTAGGAAATACCGCACACTTTGACTAATGCATCAAAATTTGCATGGAGAGCTTAACTCAGGAGTAAGGGCAGTAAATGTGGACTAATACTGAGGTTACTAGAGTGTGACACACCTAAGTCTTCTTCATTACAAACTACTTTGATCTCTCCTTATAAACATACACAGGTTGTTTGTAGACCAGCAGTTCTCAACCTGTCTTTCTTCCAGACACCCAGAATAACAGGCTCATGGTGATGACACAGGTTGAGTAACCCTTATCTGAAGTGCTTGGTACCAGAAGTGTCTCAAATTTCATTTTTTCCCCCAGATTTTGGAATATTTACATTATACTGGTTAAGTAATCCTAATCCTAATCCCAAAATCCAAAATCCTCCCTTGAACATTTCCTTTGGGTATCATGTCAGTAGTCAAAAAGTATGGGATTTTGGATTTTCAGATAAGGGATACTCAACCTGCAATATTATACCTGGTGAAGGAATACTTAGAGTGGATATAAGCTTAGGGAATATGAGTAGTTTATATAAATTCTCCCAAGAAATGTAGATATATGTACTCCTGTTCAATCTCATGTGCCATGCTGTGTTGATAACCACTCCTATAGATCTAATATTGGCTCTAATATTTTATCCTGTTAGATTTGGTCTCCTTGTGCAATCACATCTAAAACATATGGAACCATGATTCTGCAACTCAGCATATTCACTCTTCCATGACTTCATGGCCCCAAATATTTTGATGAACATATTTTATGGAAAGACTCTTAACAAAGTCGACATGTTCACAGCTATCAGACAGCTAAAGAGTCTACACAGAAACTGCTACCCCAAGACTATCCTAAAGTGGAAAGTGATGCCTATTTGGGAGAAAATGGCACAAACACAGAATGTTACTACCTCCTTCCATGGGTTTTCTTAACCTCCAGGTTCAGGGAAATGTATATGGCAAGGACACTGGGTCATCTACCTTAGGTTGGAAAGTAAATTTTCGAAACACAGAGGATGAGTCAGCGTGCCCTATTAAAACCAGATAGACAATAGGGCAAAGTCAGAAGGAAAATCAGCCCCACAGAGCAGAGATTTGACGGATTTTAACCTTTTAGAACACCTGATCTCTGCAGCCAACATTCCCACGAGGCCCTAAAACTGAGTGCTGGGAGTTTGACTCTGGAGAAAAAGAAACATCAAAATTCCATGATTAGCTGTCCAACTTTAAACAGTCCCATTTCTCCCATTAAAAAGTCTAAAAAATGGGTCATGATTCACAGCGAAGAAAGTAGAGAAGGGGGTACGCCCTAAGGGTCTTCTTGGTCTCATGCCAGTAGTCACCTCTTTCACATTCAAATCCTCCCTGCCCACTTAAGCCATAATGAAAGAGCCATCAGAATAAAACACAGCTCTGTTCTCCTGAGTCACCAGAAAGAATTATGGGACTATCAGAAGCATCATCACCCAACGGCTGGCATTAGGTACCCACAGATGCACGTGGCACCTAGAGGCAGAATGTCATGTGTGGCTCTCTTTGAGGAAGCAAAAGCAAGAAGGACACAAGATGTGATTCAGGAAGAGCTGTGTAGAGGAAAACTAACACATCAGAAAAGGAAATGTTTTCCGTCCATGTTGAAAATTTAACCAGGAAAACAAACTTACCTAATTTAATAATTGCCTATTTATCAAGAAAAACAATAATAAGGAAAAAGTGCTGCAACTAATGACAGCAGCCCCTTAGCAGGGTATAAAAGGCAACCTGGGGTAAGGAGACTTCCAAACCTTCCAAACCTACCTTGCTGGAAACCCACCTGAAACCTCCACCCTCTGACACCATGGTTAACTCTTGTGGCTCTGTCTGCTCTGACCAGGGCTGTGGCCAGGAGACCTGCTGCCAACCCAGCTGCTGCCAACCCAGCTGCTGCCAGACCACCTGCTGCAGGACCACCTGCTGCCGGCCCAGCTGCTGTGTGTCCAGCTGCTGCAGGCCCCAGTGCTGCCAGTCTGTGTGCTGCCAGCCCACCTGCTGCCGCCCCAGCTGCTGCCAGACCACCTGCTGCAGGACCACCTGCTGCCGCCCCAGCTGCTGCACCTCCAGCTGCTGCAGGCCCCAGTGCTGCCAGTCTGTGTGCTGCCAGCCCACCTGCTGCCGCCCCAGCTGCTGCCAGACCACCTGCTGCTGCCCCAGCTGCTGCTAGACTACCCAATGCTGCCCAAACTGCTCTAGTGGTTCTTGCTGCTGAGGACTCTGACCTACACTCACCTATTCCTCATCAACCAACACTCTTCATGTAGTGCATTTGTGAGATAAATCCTGTGAGGCCAATTGCAAAATTTCAGTTCCAATTAATTTTTAGATTCAATTTGGCCTCCAAATATACTCCCCCCACTGACCCTGTTCCTATTACTCTACCAAATGAACACAAGTTTGTTTTTTTCCTGAAATCTGCCAACTACCATGTCACCCCAATTGAAATATTTGCTTTCTGCTGTAATTTCTCATATGGAGATATACCTACATCTTCAATAAATCTTAATTTCTGGGCATACAAATGTACGGGCATCATGTCTCATTATTTTTCCTTCTTGAAGGAACTGGGTTCATTTCTGGTTGTCCTTCCTGATAGGTATTGAAGAGGATGAATTCGCCAGTTCAGTTGTTACATACCCTGTACCAGAGCCTGTGTTCATGTGCTCCAGCAAGATTCTGTGCCCATCACACCAACCACAATTATTTGCTAGGGTTTGCATTCATGCACTGTCATCTGCCATGATCTAGCTGGGTTTTATGGGGTCTGAACTAGTTAATTAGATGAAGACGATATTCACCTCCCCTGCATTTTTTCAAGATGGAGATATATTCACGAAGCTTTATAGCAGCTGTTTCCCTCACTGGATTGAAGTAACCAGTGATTTTAACTTGCAGTTCTATTACATTCTCAAGGCAACAATGTTTGGTAACTCTCTAGAGGCTAAGCTGTTAAAATCTCTGTTTTTATACCAATAGTAAAGATGTTCTTAAGAACATTTAACCTTGTAAATGGCTCACGGTTCTCATAACTAAACAGCGCAAAGAACACAAATGCAGCTGCCTGATGTGCAACAAAAGGTGCAAGCAAAATAGATTCAAGATGTTTCTCAGCACAATGATGCAATATTAAGACTACAAATTTCCAGAGTGAACCACCATGATTTGAGGCAAGTGGTGCTTCCTTCCTTCTCAGAGAAGTTCTCTAGTAAAGAATTATAGAAATGACCCTGCAAGTATCATCTTCTCCTGTATTTTCTTAAATCTTTGAATGGCTGTATGTCCAATTTTTATTTATTAGCTTGCCTGGAGAATGTAAGGTGGCAGGCAGTTCAGGGCTCCACTGGGCTGTTCTATTGTAATGGCTCTTATTTCACTGGTCAAGAATGAATTTGGTGAACTTCTGCATTTGGACTGCGTAGACTTACAGGTGGGTCTGTGGCGCCTGTGAATGCACAGTGAGACTGACCTGGCCAAAAACTTCATTATATCCTTGGATCATCATTGCCATATTCAAATGGGGGCCATTTTCACATTTTGGTATTCAACTGTCAGTGTCAACTCTGATCTGGTATCCAACAGCATCCAAAATAGATGCATATTCCACTTTCCTCTGAGTAAAAACGGACCAGTGACTCCACTACTATGTATACTTGCTGTGGTCCTTTCTAGAGACCTGGCCTCTCCTTCCCATTGTTGGTTCCTAGATCTGAGATTTTCAAGTTCTGGAACTGGAGTGAGGAATTAGGCTTCCCAGTGGAGCAACTTATTCAGCGTTTTCTGTTCATTTAACTTTTAAGCTCTTTGATATACTTATACATATACACACACATATACACAGATGGAGATGCAGATATTACAATTGACTTGTACAACAGGAGTGTTACTGGCACCAATGCCCTGCACAGTCAAAATGCGAGTATAATTTTGATTACTCCCAACACTTAAATACTGGAACAGTGTTGATCGGAATCCTTACTGATAACATACACAATGAACACATATTTCATGTAATATATATATACTTTATTCTTACAATAAAGCAAGCTGGAGACAATGAAATTGTTATTTAAGAACTTCACAAGGAAGAGAAAATATATTTACTATTCATTAAATGGAAGCAGATCATCATAAAGGTCTTCATCATGTTCATCCTCACACAGAGCAGGCTGAGGGGGGAGGAAGAGAGGGTTTGGTCTTTTTGTTCCAGAAAGGCAGAGCAGAAGAAAAAATCCACATACATGGACCCGTGTAGTTGAAACCTGTGTTGTTCAAGGGTCAGCGGTAGATACAGACGTAGGTATAGACATAGATGTAGAGCCACGAGCCTACACTTACGGCTCTATCCTTACTGGCTGCCTTTATCCTGTTCTGAGGAGCAGGATGTTTGTTATCTGCATCCATAGAGCCCACCTTGCCTTGCTGCCACTTCTGAACCTGATGTTGTACACATAATTACACCAATGTCAATTCCTACAGTTAAATGCTGCCTCCAGACCTTGCTGTCCTAGGATCTTTTCATCCCATTACTTCCGGGGAATCAGTGATGTAAAAATATTCCTTACCCAAAACATCGACTTGTTATAGAGTAGTTGCTGCTGGATTTCTTAGTGATGCTAGTGCCTCTTAAGCTGCCAGTTCCTGCCCCTCTTACCGTCGGTTCCCTGCTACCTATAGTAATAGGGTGTCCTCCCAGCCCCCCAGGCGACATAGTCATCCATTTGGGTTCCTGCCTTAAGACTGGAACTGCTCCAGCATTTCCACTTCTTCCTCCTCAACTGCGGTTGTGTAAACTACACTAGTTGTCTACTGTTTCGTTATATTACCTCATAGTTTAGCAGCTAAGCAACACACATTTATTATATCACAGCTTCTAGGATCAGGAATTCAAATATGCCTTAGCTTCCTTTTCTACTTCAGAGTTTTTCACAAGGCTGCATAGGTGTTAGCTGTCACTAGATTCTTTCTAATGTATCCATCAGAAAGGATCTGCATCCAAGTCCACTTATATGGTTGGTGACAAATTCAATTTCTCAAGGTCCATCTGAGTTAGAGCCTCAGTTCTGTGTTGGCTGTCAAATGGAGGCTGTCCTCAAATTTTTTGCCACGTGGATCTTTTTCTCATAGCAACTGGCTTCATCAAACCCAGAGAAAAAAGAGAGAGAGTGTGTGTTTTGCTAACAAGATGAGAGTGTAACTTAGTCACTCACCTGTTGCCATATGTATGGGAAGAAATAAATTACTCAAGGGTGGGAGCTACATAAGACCATGAACACTAGGAGCTGGGAATAATAAGGGGCACCTTAAGAGCTGCCTTTCCCAGATACTACACAATATTGGGCAAAAGAATCAACATACAAAATACATGTAGTAGGATTCCATTATAGAAAATTCAAAAAATATTAAAAGTAAACTGCATGGTTTAGGGATGCATATCCTAGGTGGTAAAATATCATGGAATACAGCGAAAAGATTATTTAAAATTAGAATCTGATTACCTCTAGGCTGGAAGGAGGATAATAGTAAGGAAAAGACAAATGTAGGGTGGTGAGTGAGATGTGCACCGTCTGGGGGATGGTCGTGCTGGAGACTTAGACCTTGTGGGGGAGGGGAAGGGCATTTATTGACAATTAATGCTGTACCTCATCATATCCAGAATAAAAAAAAAAAGACAACATGTAGGAGCACTTCTTGGTGATGACAGTCTCGTTTCTTGCAAGGGGTTTAGTACATAGGTGGCTTTAAGATTGGCTTAATATTATTAATTATATTCTACCTATGTTTCATAACTTATATATACAGTTCCTTAAAAAATCTTTTATTTTTATTGCATTTTGGGTAAATTAGTCAATAATGCCTCCATCGGTCCATGACCCTCCAAAAATCTAATGGTACCTGAAAGGCTACTTATTAGAGATTTAAAAATAAGTTATATCCTGGACTCTATGGCTGGAAGTGGGGGAAAAGAATAGACAAGCAATGATTGAAGAAAATTTAGAGCAAGGAGATATTCACCAATGGTATATGGGTATCTTAGATTACTTTAATGCCGCTCTGATTTACATATACATTTATATCAATCTGTATATCGCTTAATGCTTATTCTTAAATAAAATTTTTAAAGATTCAAAACAGTAATTTTTAGAGAATAGGATATCTTTGCCCAGTTTGGTGCCAGTGCACCCAATCATAGCTCACTGTAACCCTAAATTCTGCTCCAAATCACTCCGGCCTAGCGCACAAGCAGCTAGGACTATACAACACCACTACACCAGCTAATTTTTAATTTGTAGAGATGGGGTCTTGCCTATCTTGCCAGGCTTGGTTTCAACTCCTGCCTCGAAGCCAATCTGCACACTTTCGGCATCCAAAGTGTTGGAGTCAGGTGTGAGCCATCACACTCCAACTATTCTTAAATACTATAGATAAGACGTTTGATTTTTATTATAAATAGGAATTAACTTGAATTGAATATGTAATTTCCCCATCACTTAGACAGTGCCTATTCAGGGCATCTATATTTAGATAATATATATTAACTATGTCGATTATAATATTCAGCCTAATGGTAGTAATTTTAAACTCAGAAAAATGCATACTAGATAGTTAATTTTTAAAATGATTGAGCACTAATAATATATGTAATACTTAAACAGAAATTTTTTCATGCATTCTTTAAAGGCATCATTAATATGATGAGTCAGGTTACATTAATAGTGATGAAAAATATTAATCTGGTTCACT